GGGGAAGGAAGGGGGGCCGCCGTCCAATCCGCTACGGCCGCTGCTGGTGCACGACGCGCATGGGGCGCCGAAGGAGGGAGCGGGGCCAGAGGAGGTGGGAAAGGGAGTGCCTGACGGGCAGCCCCTATGCCCGTGGTAAACCCAGGGACTCTCAGCCGCGTGTCAAGAACGTGTCGCAACGCCTTCGCAGGAGCTAGCCGTGGGAACAAAAGCAGCGCCCTGGCCGCATAGCGAAGATAACGCTTGAGGGAGGCGCTCTCTTCACCCCAAGACTCTATCTGCGACTTGGAGGGCTGCGCCAACGTCAACGCCCCTTTCTTGGCGTATCTGTCGGCCAAGTCGTTCCCTACGGCTCTATACCACTCCGGGGATCCAGCGGGCCGCTCGTCAGGACTCACGTGCGCCGGGAGTTTTTGACAAGGCAGAAGTCTCGGGTCCACGTGTGCGCCCCCCTGATTTGGATCTGGAGGCCAGCGTAAACGTTGTGCCGGGCCGTAACCTGCCACCACGGCGCATCCGTTAGTTTGACCAGGCCTCAGAAATCAGAGTAAATCGAGGTGGCCTTGGGGCAGAGCTGCATCACTGCAAGAGCAGCGATGTGCTCCGCCGCTGGGGAGGTCTGTGGGTAGTCTGCTCCCACGGCCCCCCAAAGAGCGGCAAAAGGTTCGCCTGCCGGCATTGCTTTCACGACCGCCCAGCCTGCGGCATGGAAGGTGACTGGGCCGTCTTTGAAACAGGACCCATCCGTAAATACATCGCCGGTAAAGGCGTCCGCTATGGATAAGCCCTCGACGGCGCACCAAAACTTATGGCTACTGGTGCCGGTGCCAGGCGGAGGGCTAGACACTGGGCTGGGTTGCTCTTGGAAGCCACAAACAAAACGGAAGTTTCTGGCGGGATCAGATATGAGGGCCCTGTCAGGTTCCGTCAGCATCTCTTCTCGAAGGCCTCTCGTGCACGGGCAAAAATGGAGGCGATGAGAAATGCTGTCGGATGGGGCTCCGCAAATGCATGTTGCGTCTACGTTGTACCCAGCCTGCCGCAATTGATGCGCCGTCCACAACGAGTGGCAGATAAAGGCGAGAAGCAGCCCTTGCTCGTTTCTCGGGAGGCTGCACTCCTGGATTAAACGCCTAGCCACACTGAAATCAAACGTCGTTGATGCAGGCTTCCTAATTAGCCCGCTAGGCGACTGGAGTGGCCCTGCGCCCAATACTCTCTGAATTGAAGTTCCATGAACTTGGGGGAAAAGGCTGTCAGGGGCCATCGCCTGCCCGCTGGGTCCTGCAAAATGCGAGGAGGAGGAGGAGGAGAAGGAGGAGGAGGAGGAGGAGGACGAGGAGACCGAGGAGAACTAGGAGGAGGAGGAGGAGGAGGAGGAGGAGGGTCAGGAGGAGGAGGAGGGGGAGAAGGGGGAGGAGGAGGATGATGATGATGAGGAGGAGAGGGGGGAGGAAGAGGAGGAGGAGGACCAGTGTAAACCCAAGAGTCACAGGCCCCTTACAACGGTTCATTTCCATTGAGGGAACTGCCTCGTTGGAAGACAACCGTCTGAATATCCTGAAGCATGTCAACTCATTGTTTTCGGGATTTCAACGCCACGTCTCAGCCTGACTGCTGCGCATGGGCGATCTGGAATCTTGCGACTGAACATAACAGTTGCACCCGCGTAATCCTGAATCCTGCCAAAACACAATTTTTGGTTCGCTGATCATGGGAATCCGTGAAGCTGTTGCACATTGTTTAAAACGAATGCGCGCGGCGCTAAGGCGAGAACAACATTTTGAAACTGAGCCGCCCTCAATTCGTGAAACCCTTGCAACTTTTACAAAGAATGTGCGCGGCGTTGAAGAGAGAGCTACAGGTTGAAAACGGCCCGCCTTCAATCCGTGACGGTCTTGCAAGTGTTTACAAATAGTGTGCGGGGCGCTAAGGAGAGAACCACATTTTGAAAAGGACCCGCCCTCAATCCGTGAAACGCTTGCAAGCAAAGATATAAAACGAATGTGCACGGCGCTAAAACGAGAGCCACATTTTGAAAACGGCCCGCCCTCAATCCGTGAAATTCTTGCAAGTGTTGAACAAACGAATGCGCGCGGCGCTAAGGCGAGAGCCACATTTTGAAAACGGCCCGCTCTCAATCCGTGAAGCTCTTGCAAGTGCTGAACAAACGAATGTGCGCGGCGCTAAGACGAGCGCCACATTTTGAAAACGGCCCGCCCCCAATCCGTGAAGCTCTTGCAAGTGTTTAAAACGAATGCGCGCGGTGCTGAGGCGAGAGCCAGATTTTGAAAATTAACCGCCCTCAATCCGTGAAATTCTTGCAAGTGTTTACAGAAAGTGTGCGCGGCGCGAGGGCGAATGCCACAGTTTGACAACGGCTCGCCCTCAATCCGTGAAGCCCTTGCAAAGGTTTTAATCGAATGTGCGCGGCGCTAGGGCGACAACCACATTTTGAAAACGGCCCGCCTTCAATCCGTGAAACGCTTGCAAATGTTTA